CTGATGAGAGCCCGCATACAGTCTTTGGCGCCGTTTGGATCACTTCCCACGCGATCGCAGATCTCCAGTATTAGCGCCCAGTCTTCGGTGGTATTGGTCTCCGAAGTGGCCTTTTCTGCAGAGGAATCACAGGAATCACACAAAACTGTCATTAATACTGTATATTGCGGTCAATGCATGTCTGAAGAAGTGATTACCGACTAAAGCGTCGAAAACAGAATTACTGCTGAATAAACCCATTGTCTGGCGATCTTAACGAGTGGTTGGGATGTGATTTGCGATCACTTCAGACACGACAACACAGTCTTAATGTCGACTCAAAATCACAACAACCGATCATTTATGTGATTAAATGCTCAGTTTCTATGGCAACCATTCTATACGACTATCCAATGGTTCGCTTACAACTGGTCTCCACTGTACACAACTGGCAGTGCATTCAATGCAGTGTTTGTACAGTGAGTAATGGGAAAGTTGTGTTCAATCAGATGTGTTGAATGTATTGAACCATTGGTTGGACTCTTGGGATGTTGTGAACCGATATTGACATCAATTGATAACACATTTTTAATGCAGTGTTTGTACAGTGAGTAATGGGAAAGTTGTGTTCAATCAGATGTGTTGAATGTATTGAACCATTGGTTGGACTCTTGGGATGTTGTGAACCGATATTGACATCAATTGATAACACATTTTGTAAGTCATGTCTTTGTTTTCGCTTATTATTACACATGTTATCACTCAATGCAAACATCCATATAATGTACATATAATGCACTTCACGTACACTAATGGCAATCAATTATGTAAATAACAACTAATAATAAGACAATTTGAATGATTTGTTGCGAAGAAGTGGAAGAATGCGTCTACGGATCAAATCGAGTGATGAACAGCCGATGTCGTCGATGACTGATTACAAGTATTGGTCGCTCGCCTTAAGTATTACTTGTATTAAAGTCTTGTTAATGAAGTCATAGTTAGTATTAAAGTTTGTTTATAACTCGTGGTTAAAAGTGATGAATGAATTGAAATAATGTCTCATTTCTCACCCATAAAGTCATTCAACCGATTTTGAAGTCCACCGCAATTGGCTCTCAATTACACATAATTTACCGATCAGTCAATGGTATTATGAAGTAATGATCGCTTTTTAGACATATATTTTGACGCAAACATATGTTTAAAACTAATTTATAAGTTTTATCACAGTTTGTGACAAACATTTTACTCAATTTGTATGATATTTAATATTAATTTGTTATTTTATATGCAATTGGTTTTAGTCGACGTCTGAATGGACTCTGGATTATCCGCCACTGTTTGCGTGGTTTGAGTTATGTTTATCAAAGTTTGCCCATTATTTTGATGAAAATATGTTGCAAATCACTGCAAAGGGATATATTAGCGACAAAACAATTGTCTTTCAACGGTTGACAGTAATTATAACGGATTTTGTCTACTTTTACGCTGTCCTCCAGTGGTGTCAAGCGATGGGCAAATTAAAGATCCGTTTCAGCAAACAATGCGTTTACGACCAGTGGTTTCACCCGAATGTCATACTAGCGATGCTATTCCTATGGAATCCGGGTTTACTACTCGTCGATCACATCCACTTCCAATACAACGGCATTTTAAGCGCTTTACTCCTTCTCTCCATCGCTAGGATTATACAGAAACGAGAGATTGAATCCGCCTTTTGGTTCG